TGGCCAGTAAGGGGATCTGAACCCTCAACCTTGGTGTTATCAACACTGCCCTCTAATCAACTGAACTAGTCAGTCAGCCCCTATTTTCTATAGTTTGTATATATAAATGGTATTAAAGGTTGGTAGAATTCACCAGTAAAGGCCATCTGGGCTTAGAGCTTTCTTTGTGGGAGGTTTTTAACTACAAATTCAACTTATTCAACAAAGAGTTATAACCGCTATCCATTTCTTCTTGAGTATGGTTTGGTAGTTCGTGTCTTTGATGAAATTTGTCTATTTATCCAAGTTATCAAATGCATTTACATTAAGTGGTTCACAACATTCCCTTATTATCCTTTTCATGTCTGTTGGATCTATACTGATGTGGTCCCAATTAAAATAGAAAGACACACAATTATTAAACCATATATTCATTTAAATTTCTAAGCATTCTACTCAGGCTATAAAACTGTTTCATTAACAAGGGACTTAGAAATAAATCCAGTAAAAACATCCAGAAACACTGGATGTATTGTTGCATAACTATCCCAGGCAGGTGGGACTGGAACTCAGGCTCCAACTCTATACTACCACCCATCATGAAAACAAGCATATATTTAGACATTACTGAGCTGAAATCAATAGGCATAATACACAGCTTATACGTTATACAAAACACGCCAATTTATTCTACAGCATGGACTGCAAGCATACAAAACAATTTTAACTCACCCAAAGCTAAATGATAGTTATAATACATTCAAAAAATAATTTTGTTTGCCCTCTTAGAATCTAAGATGACATCTTAACATCGTTTCAGATAGCCCTTTTCTTAAGTTAAAAAAACAAGAGCTACTTAATGGAGTTTAAGCCAATACATAACTTTTAAGTACCACACACAGTTTTCCTGATTACACTCATATTAGCAGAAAGAAGAAAATGCTGACATAAGACTCTCCCAGCAGATGATGCTCACTTTTAACTTTAAGGAAAACAGTAACTTAAAACCACAAGTGATATAAATGTTGCCTTGCTTTCAGGACTTTCCAATTCATTTCATAAGCACAAAAAAACAAAATGCAGTAAAATAGTGTCTACTGGCACTTGGCATCCATCCCCATTCCCTTCTGTCCTCTCTCCAACCTCAGAGGCTGGATGGTGAAATCTACATTTCTCAGGCTCCCTTGCTGGAGGAATTCTGAATTGTATTTATTTCTTCTTTCCCCAGCTGTATGCCTTTTCTTTTTCTTGCTTTAGAGCACTGGCTAGGATCTCCAGAACAATGTCAAATAGAAATGATAAAGAGACCATCTTTGCCTTTTTTCCAAAATGTTAGGTGAAAGCATTTAGTCTTTCATCAATAATTATATTAGCTGTAGGTTTTTCATAGATAACTTTAACAAGTTCAGGAAGCTCCCTTCTATATCTACTTTTCTGAGAGTTTTCCTTCTATTCCTATTTTTCTGAGTTTTTATCATGAATGGATGATGAATATTGTTAAATGCTTTTTCTTCATCTATTGAGATGATCACAGAGTTTTTTTAATTCTCTTCCTTATTTTGTTAATATTAGGAATTACATTGATTTTCAAATATTGAAGCAACCTTGTACTCCTGGAATAAATGGCACTTGGGAATGATGTATTATGCTTTTTATATATATTGTATTCAATTTGCTAATATTTTATTAAATAATATCTTTGGTTTTTGTATCAGGGTAATACTGGCCTCATAAAATAAACTTGTGTTCCTCTTTTCTAGAGTTTTTGTTTGTTTTGTTTTGTTTGCAGTTGGCCAGTAAGGGGATCTGAACCCTCAACCTTGGTGTTATCAACACTGCCCTCTAATCAACTGAACTAGTCAGTCAGCCCCTATTTTCTATAGTTTGTATATATAAATGGTATTAAAGGTTGGTAGAATTCACCAGTAAAGGCCATCTGGGCTTAGAGCTTTCTTTGTGGGAGGTTTTTAACTACAAATTCAACTTATTCAACAAAGAGTTATAACCGCTATCCATTTCTTCTTGAGTATGGTTTGGTAGTTCGTGTCTTTGATGAAATTTGTCTATTTATCCAAGTTATCAAATGCATTTACATTAAGTGGTTCACAACATTCCCTTATTATCCTTTTCATGTCTGTTGGATCTATACTGATGTGGTCCCACTTTCTTTTCTGATAATAGAAATTTGTTTTCTCTCTTTGTTTTTGTTCCTGATTAGTCTGGCTACAGTTTTATCAATTTTATCTCATCAAAGAACCAGCTCTTTGTTTCACTAATATTTTTTCTTTTGTTTTCCATTTCATTGATATCTGTTACCTTGGTCATGTCCTTCCTCTTGTTGAGTTTAATTTGCTCTTGAGTTTCTGATTTCTTAAGTTTAGACTACTATTTCAAACTTTTGTTTTTGAATATAAGCATTTAACATTATAAATTTCCCCTTAAAAGCAGTGCTTAAGGCACATCACATACATTTTGATACGCTGTTTTCACTTTCATTCAATTCAAAATATTTTGATTTCTCTTATGACTTCCTCTTTGACCCGTGAGTTTTCAGAATGTGATAGTTAATTTTACAATTCCAGATGTCTGATTTCTAGCTTAATCCATTGTGATGAGAAAACACAGATATATTCCTGAAAAATTACCCATAAAGTGTAAGTGGGAAAATCAAATTCAACTTTCCTATGGTAAATTAATGTAATGATATGCCAAGGTCAAGGATTAAAGATCAAGTCTTCCAGCTTCTGGTAC